TGGTCTACCTGGGTCCTACAGGGTGATGGTCTACCTGGGTACTACAGAGTGATGGTCTACCTGGGTCCTCCCCGGTGATAGTCTACCTGGGTCCTCGACGGTGATGGTCTACCTTGGTCCTACACGGTGATGGTCTACCTGGGTCCTACAGGGTGATGGTCTACCTGGGTCCTACAGGGTGATGGTCTACCTGGGTCCTACAGGGTGATGGTCTACCTGGGTCCTAGAGAGTGATTGTCTACCTGGGTCCTACAGGGTGATGCTTTTCCGGGGTCCTACAGGGTGATGGTTTACCTGGATCCTACAGGGTGATGGTCTCCCTGGTTCCTACAGGGTGATGGTCTACCTGGGTCCTACAAGATGATGGTCTACCTAGGTCCTACACGTTGATGGTCTACCTGGGTCCTACAGGGTGATGGCCTACCTGGGTCCTTCCTGGTGATGGTCTACCTGGGTCCTAGAGAGTGATTGTCTACCTGGGTCCTACAGGGTGATGGTCTACCTGGGTCCTACAGGGTGATGGTCTACCTGGGTACTACAGGGTGATGGTCTACCTGGGTCCTACACGGGGATGGTCTACCTGGATCCTACAGGGTAAAGTATAATTTGGCTGTATAGTGCAACAGTTTTATTATTGGCCTTTTTAACTTGACATGTTTTTTTCTGTTTTTATTTTCTATAAAAATGCGTTTTTCTGCTTCGTGACTGACGATATTCGATTTGACAACATTTGGCTGCTTTTTCCCTTTAAAACGACATCCTCCTGGTCTCACGCCCCCGATTAATTACTCTATTTAATGTTTTGTGTGGTCGGCGTGCAGCATCGGACAGCAAAACTCAGTTCTCCCAAAAGATAACGCACCTCCAGGGATTTGTGGTCTATGGCTGTACGAGGACTAAAAAGAAATAAACCATTTGTGCTGTTTGATCCTGTTGGTCCAGCTGGTTTATGAGGCTACTACTTTAGTCTGCTTAACCTGAATGTTTTCTCACGTGTGTGGAGATGCTGCACATTTTAGATGTAGAAATACCCACAAACACTTAAGTCCACATTCATTCTGCTGAATACAGTTAAATGAAACAGTCTGTAAACTACTGGCTTCTGATCAATGCCTAAACTTTGGTCTGTTTTTAGTCCAGGAGCTGCTGGAGGACAGGAATCTTACATTTTTCCTGTTTTAATGTATTTGACCTAAACCGACGAGAAGAAGGCGACCTCCTGTAAAATGTGTGGGAGAAGTTTTACCAGATTTTTTTTTTTGGCACAAATGAATTCTGATGTGTTCTACATTTGTGAGACACCCTTTTCTTGTGAATTGTGTGGGAAAGGTTTGATTTTCAGGTCTGGAATCGCCATCCATACGAGAAGCTGAACAAGGGAGAAACCTTTCAAGTGTAAAACATGTGGGAAATGATCTAGTTATAGGTCTGCACTCACCAGCCCAATGAGAAGCCACACTGGTGTGAAACCATGCAGATTGGAAACCTTTTTCTTTTTCTTGTGCAAGTTGGAAGAGTTTCCTTCATCTTACCTGCATTTTTTATAATCTAAGTTAACTTAACATTTCAGTGTTTTACTGAATATTGCCCTTGTTTATTTTCTTTAGATTCAATTAAACTAGAAACAAACAGAAAGACAAATAAGTTCTTGCTTCCTTTAAGGTTTTATTTGTTCTAAATTCCAAAAAATCACAAAATGAAACAATTTGTTTTCAAATTAAACATGAAGAGGGATCAAACAGATTCCGACCCTGGAAACACCAACTTCTTTAATTTAAAACAACAAAAACTGTAAATAATTTCCACATTTCCAAAGTGATAAGATGTAAAATATTCTGTGATAAAATAAGCTCTGCTGGTTTCTCTGTGATGGGAAAGAAAAACAACAAAATACAAATACATCAGCAAACATTCAGAGCTCAGAGAAGTCCAGACTTTCTGTGAATAAAACTCCTGGTTAGCAGTGATTTCCTCCACGGCTGCACAAACACAGGAAGGAGCAGAAAAATAGAAATGAACAGCAGAGACTTCACAGCAGTGAACTCTGAGCAACAAGCTGAGAGGAGAGTTCACCTGAGCTCACACAACTCTGCTGAGGTTCCAGAACCAACCCAGAGTCCAGCATAGAGAGGCTGAGTGAAGGTGGTCTGGACTCTATGGAGGAGAGTCCTGGTTTCAGAGACGCTGTTACGACCCGTCTAGGCATGGCCAGATCGCAACATAAAGGATCCATCCTCTTCCAATCCCCAAGCAACCAACACACAAAGTGGGACAGTTTATAGGATATTTATTTTATAGAGAGGGATGTTCAATTTACAAGGAGTTGAGCGTATAACCTCAGAGTGAGCTATCGCCGAAAACAACAAACAAACAAAAACTATCTGAATATAACCCAACTTACCTAACCAGAAACAAACAAACCAAATGACAAAAACTTACCTCCCTAACTAACAAAACAGGAGAAAACTAAGAAAACAGAAACGGCAGCTCACTCCTACAAACTCCGAAACATTACACACAGTGTGGTCGATAGGGATGGTCCGAGGATGGAACCATAGGAAGTCCGCGTCACCAGCCTTTATCCGTCCTCTCCGGGAAGCGACCAATCGGACGTCCCCCCGTCGTCCTCCAAACACCAATCAAATAAGAAAAAACACCTGCACACTCAGGTACATGATTGGATTAAACGACCCCAGTCGTAACACCCCCATTCACAAAAAAATTGAACACACCCCTAAGTGTTTCAATTCACATGCATTAACAACTTCTAGACAAAGCATCAGCTAATACATTATCCTTACCCTTTTTATAGTTAATTTGCAAGTTAAAATCTTGCAGCAGCAGAGACCAGCGCATCAGTCGGTGATTGGAATTTCGCATTTGGGAGACAAAAACCAGCGGGTTATGATCGGTAAAGACATGTACAGGTTGTGCACTAGAACCAATATAAACTTCGAAGTACTGTAACGCAAGTAACAAAGCAAGAGCCTCCTTTTCGATTGTACTGTAATGAAACTGGTGTTTGTAAAACTTTTTCGAAAAGTAACAGACAGGATGCTCTATACCTTGCTCATCTTCCTGCAGAAGCACAGCTCCCGCACCGCGCAAACTTGCATCAACTTCGAGTTTAAATGGACGCTCAAAATTTGGCGCAGCCAGCACTGGCCCACTGCACAATAATGCTTTAGCAGACTCGAACGCAACCTGACAAGGCGAAGACCAAATAAAAGGTTTCAAAGGACTAACAAGTTCCGTCAATGGGCTAACCACATCTGAAAAGTTTTTACAAAACCCGCGATAAAAACCACACATTCCCAAAAACCGACGCAAATCTTTTTTTGTCTGTGGGATAGGAAAATCAATTATTGCTTGCACTTTAGCAGCAATAGGAGATACTTGTCCTTGCCCAACCTGCTTTCCTAGATAAGTAATTGTGGCTTTACCAAACTCGCATTTCGAAAGATTCAAAGTGAGAGAAGCATCACGAAAACGAGTGAACACTTCTGAAAGAATTTCCAAATGCTCTGACCAAGTGGCAGAATAAATAACTACATCATCCAAATATGCTTCACAATTTTTCACACCAAATAATACCTTTCGCATTAAGCGTTGGAACGTAGCGGGCGCGTTACGCAACCCGAAAGGCATAACGGTATATTGGAGGAAATGATCAGGAGTTACAAAAGCAGAAATTTCAGAAGCTCTAGATGTTAACGGGACTTGCCAATAACCTTTTAACAGGTCCAACTTTGTGACAAATTTAGCAGAGCCAACACGATCAATGCAGTCTTCCATTCTAGGAAGTGGAAAAGAATCGGGCTTCGTGACAGCATTAACCTTTCTGTAATCAGTACAAAACCGAAGGGTTTTATCTGGTTTCGGAACTAGAATACAGGGCGAACTCCAAGCGCTGTAACTGGGCACGGCTAAACCATGTTCCACTAGGTAAGCCACTTCCTGTTGCACCAGAACACGCCTTGTTGGATTTATTCTGTAAGCATGCTGTTTAATTGGCTTCTTAACCTCCACATCAATATCATGATACAGCACAGATGTTTGGTGTGGATGATCTGAAAAAAGTAATAAATTAACTTCAATCAGATCCGTGACATCTTTGCGGGCAGGCTGTGACAAATGAGATAGAAAAGATTCCAAATTTCCTAACACTTCCGAGTTCCGCAACCGGGCCGCAGGCATGCAACCACTGTTCTCCCTCAAATCGTCATCTGCCAGATGATATGATGGAGGTGAAGAGCAAACAGAAACAGAAGCAACAGAAGAGCCTTCATGTGCAACGGCTTCCCTGGAAACATAACGTTTAAGCATGTTAATATGACAAACCCTCGTTTTTCGTCTTCGATCAGGAGTCTTAATCACATAGTTTGTTTCATTTATTTTTCTGACCACCTCATATGGTCCAGAAAATTGTGCATGCAAACTCGATCCACTCAAGGGAAGTAGCACCAAAACCTTTTCACCTAAAGTGAAATTTCTACTCACAGCTTTTTTATCGTAACGAGTTTTCATTTTATTCTGAACTTTACCCAGATTTTCTTGGGCAAGCTGACATGCACGAAAAAGTCGCTCTCTAAAACTACTAACATAATCCAACACATTATGTTCAGTTTGACGCGACTCTGACACCCATTTCTCTTTAACGAGTTGGAGCGGACCGCGAACAGTGTGTCCAAATACCAAATCAGCCGGACTGAATCCTAGGGATTCTTGAGTGGTTTCCCTAACTGCAAATAGCAAAAGGGGAAGACCCTCGTCCCAACTTTTACCAGATTCAAGGCAGTATTTGCGCAACATATTTTTCAAGGTTTGATGGAACCTCTCCAGCGCACCCTGGGACTCTGGATGATACGGACTGGAGGTTTGATGTTCAATCTTCAGTTCATTCAAAACTTGAGCAAACACCTTTGACATAAAATTTGTCCCTTGATCCGTTTGAACAACTTTAGGTAAACCAAAAGTCGAAAAAAAACCTATGAGGCTTTTCACAACGTTCTTCGCCTTTAACGTGCGTAATGGAATAGCCTCCGGAAAACGCGTGGCAGCACACATTAAAGTTAACATGTATTGATACCCCGACTTTGTTTTTGGCAAAGGGCCCACACAGTCCAATAAAACTCGTTCGAATGGTTCACCAAGCGCTGGGATGGGATGAAGAGGCGCTGGTGGAATTGGTTTATTTGGCTTTCCCACTAATTGACATATATGACACGACCTACAATAATTCACTACGTCAGACTTTAACCCACGCCAGAAAAAATGTCGTAATATACGATGGTAAGTTTTTTTAACACCTAGATGTCCGGCCAAGCTAGCATCATGTGCAAGACTCAAAATCTGAGGTCTGTAATCTTTTGGCACAACGACCTGATTTATTCTATGCAGATCATCTAAATCTTGGGCCCAGGACCTCATCAAAACACCATTTTCAACAAAATAGGTCCCTTGAGTTTTAGATTCATTCTTATCTGCAGCAGAAAAGCAAGAACTCAGTGACAGATCATTCTGCTGCGCTTTGACCAACATCTCCCTAGTAATGTTCAAAGTTAAAGTTTTATCCGCAGGCATAAGTTCAGAGA